GGGTTTCAACAGGCTAAGTGCAGTGGAAACATCCAAAGTGCTGACAAGATCGGCTTCTGGTGTGACTGGGATGATGGTGATGGATCAGTGATGATGATTGGTGGAGGAGGAACTAACTGTGAACGTGCAGATCACGGGATTGGAATCACAGAAAGAGACGCTGCTTCTTTTGTTGATCACGGAAGCAGTGAGAGAGACTATGACTTTGGTTATGAGGCTTGGGCCGGCAACGCTGTATCCCAGTCCTACTCGTTGAACTTATGGATCCGTTAAAAAATGATCAGTTCTTCATATTTCAAAGTAAGTTTAGAAATGAATAACTTTGTAGAAGATGAAATCGTTCATTTAAGGTCACTTTGTAGGTTAGGTGCATATTTTAAAATGGTAAGTAAGAGCGCATTTTATCCCTCTCATAGCAAAGATAAAGCAACTTGACCATCACCTCGGTCACAATGTTTAATCTTTAAGCATCCTATGATCTGTAAAAGCAACAAATTAATTGCCATCAGAACTTTTCGAGAAAATCAAATACAGTAGAATTCATTTAAGTCAAACTTACAACTTATCGATCTTTCAAGAAACTCTGAAGTATTCATCGATGATTGTATAATGATGTCAGATATAAAACTTCCAAGATATGTTTAAACAATCAATCGGTTATTTCATGGAGAAATTTCTGAAGCAACATCGAGCACTACAATCAATAACTAGATGAATAAAAAGCTTTGAAAAATAAAAGTAGCCTGAGGTTCCTTGACAATAGTATCCACTAAATGGTTTGAAAACTTAATATATAGTCTACTTAAGAGGTGGCGAATGGTGAATGCGAGACTTTGCGAGACGGTGAGACTACCGTTTTTCTTTGCGAGCCCGAGACATTTTGACTTGTTAGATTGCGAGACCGAGACTTCAAAGGGTTTTGAGTGCGAGCGCGAGACGTTCAGACTCTTAAATTGCGATCCCCAGAAGGCTATGAGATTGAGCTAGAATGAGCTTGTACAAAAGTCTCACAAAGGATCCTTTTGTTGTAAACCCTTGTACAAAACATAAGATCTAAAAATCTGTCAACAGTGAACAAATTCTATTTTTTTTTCCTGGCCATGACCTAATTTCCGTTTAGGAGGTTGCGCCTGTTTTTTTCCCTTTGATTTTTTTGACTGACCCGTTGTCACTTACAACTCAAGTTGTCTGGAAGTCGTCAGAAAGAACGCGCGGTTGTGTTTGAACCCCGGGGAGGGACTCCTATATGAAACAGACGGGGATGCTCGTCGAAAATTTTCAATTTAACCCCTAAAGGAGACCATCTGGGCGTGGCTTAAGCAAATTTTGACCCCCAAGAGAGACCCCTCATGTTCATGCATTGTCTCTTTGGCACTTCGTAAAATAGAAAAATGGTTAATGTTGAGGTAATACGGTAAACAAAACATGTTAAAAAGAAACTTTTACTTCTGTTTCTCTTCGCGTAATTCTGTATTTCTACGCGGAACCCTAAACGAGACCTCGGCGGCTTAAAATATTGGTGCTTTACCTGGAACACCCTAAGCGAGACCAAAATCNAGCTAGCTATGAAAGATCTAGTCCGCAATTAAGTCGCACTGATGGTGGTTTTACCTGGGATTGTTTGCACGAGATGGCCAAAGTTGGCAAAATAGGTCGAAATCAAAACTCACCCATACACTCGATCGCTTTCCGGCGATAGCTTCGAAAGCGGGGAAATCAAAACCACCAGCTACGTACCCAGGAAACGAAAGTCAATATTCAAAAGATTAATATTTGTAGAAAACAAAGTTAATTCAAACTAAGTATTTGATTAAGGGTCTATTAAGCATAGTATTTTCTTACTTGTTTGCTTATTTCAATTTCATTCATGTTTTTATCAGAAGATAGAGGGAAAATTAGAGCCGAAGGAAAGAACTGGAAATGGAAATTCGACTATAACATTACGTTATGATATACTAGAATAAAATAACTGTTGTTGTTTTTTTTTTTGTTTGTTTGTTTTTCTTTAAATCAGGCGCCAAAATGACGTTGCGATGAGTTTTCTAGCTTTTTGTTGAATGCAGAGAATTTAGGAGAAGTTAGGATTGACTTTTTCTCGGAAATTGAAAGTTTATTTAAAATATTCAATATCAAGTGACGAGAAGACGTCACATTAAGGAAACGAACAAACGAATCGGGACTTCGAGACCCTTAGCCTTGCATAAAATCGAGACTCCGAGACACCTTCGTATAAAACACAAGACTGTGAGACGCATATAACCGCTGAAAAAACGAGACTGCGAGACTTACGAAATTTGAATAAAATTTTACGAGACCCAGAGTTTTTGAAGGACCTTTCGCCACCCCTTACTTATTATTTTCAAGTTTTCTAAGAATGTGTCAAACGAGGAAAAAGGAAAATATGTATAGTGGAGGAGGTGGGCTGGGACTAAAATCTGGACCCCCAGTGAGACAACTAAACAGATTTAGTCTCCGATTACAGCATCTTACTAAATTCTGAATGGCGTCGCATTTTCACTTCTGGATTGACTAAAAGGAATGTGCATTTTAAATAGACTTACTCGAATGGATCGCACATTTTCGGGATTTTGAGGTTACGAAATTTCTGGTAATTACGGATTTAAAAAAAATGGGAAGATTCGTGGTTTAAAAGATGTTACATTTTCTCAAAAGTGTCCAAGATGGGGTTAGTATTAGGTAGGATTCTGAGAGGCCAGCGGCACATAGCCAACGAATGCGTGGATTATACGGTTTCTCATTGTTTTGTTAACTCAGATCAAAATCTAAAAATCGACAATCGGTAACCATTGTTGAACAAATAGTTATGCTAACAGTGGCCGTAAGTATTGTGCTATGGAGTCACGCGGTGATCTTTCAGAAAAATAAAATAACAACTTATCGTAAAGATGATGAAGTTGAAGATGTTTTTGAAAACGCGTGTCGCTTTGACTTAGTTTTTCTTTTTCTTTTTTTTCCTTCTAATCTTTAGTTTTTATTTTTCTTTTTTTCTATGCATTGTGCGAGACCCCATATCCCTTTCATGAAAAGCACTAATTTGATTTAAAAGGGAAAGGGAAGATCTGCGTGCAAGATTAGTACAGGCC